GCTAAGTTCAAAATTAAAGGGTCTAAATGATAAGAAACAACGCTTCTGTATGAATTCGTGCTAGGGAATTTCCAGGGTTTTCCCCAGGAATGTGGAAGTTGTCAGTGTTTACGTCATTTCAAGAATACAGTCATGTGACCGACCTCTCGTCCTGTGGAAAAGCCGTATATCGTGTAAACTTCACATTAAAAAAAGTTACTGTTATAACCAAATAAAACACAACCCATTATCCGATAGAGGTCACTGTGCACAGCGGAGGGATATGTTATCTCAATATACTTGGTAACATGGTTTGGTTTGACTTCTTGGCGCGTGTCTGAATTCCATGAACAAGTTACATATCCTAAAACTGACTAATCAGCAAATCTCGCTGCACTGCGCGCGACAGATAGTAGGGCAAGGCATGCCAAAAATACGAAACCTAATACTTTCGTAAGGAAGCCTTGGGCATCACGTGCGTCGGGGGACGAGACCATCTGATTGGCTGTTAATATACTGTATAGCTGTACAAGGCGGAGCAAAAAGCATCGTTTTCCCCTCCATTTTACGCTTGAAAAAATTGACGCTTTTCGGGACACTTTCTGGACGCTCAACAATTAATCAATTTTAATGAATTTTTAGTCGTTTTTCGGTCCAATGACCATATTCGAAAAAACCCGACGTTTTCGTGTTTGCAGTTATATGTCACCCTGGAATACCGTGATTATGTCATCCTTGTCTACTGTGATTATGTCATCCTTGTCTACTGTGATTATGTCACCCTTGTTTACCGTGATTATGTCACCCTGGTATACCGTGATTATGTCACCCTGGTTTACCGTGATAATGTCACCCTGGTATACCGTGATTATGTCACCCTGCTCTATCGTGATTATGTCACCCTGCTCTATCGTGGTTATTTTACCCTTGTATACCGTGATAATGTCACCCTGGTATACCGTGATTATGTCATCCTTGTCTACTGTGATCATGTCACCCTGGTATACCGTAATTATGTCACCCTGGTATACCGTGATTATGTCATCCTTGTCTACTGTGATTATGTCACCATGCTCTATCGTTATTATGTCACCCTGGTATACCGTGATTATGTCACCCTGGTATACCGTGATTATGTCACCCTGGTATACCGTGATTATGTCACCCTTGTTTACCGTGGTTATGTCACCCTGGTATACCGTGATTATGTCACCCCTGTCTACTGTGATTATGTCACCCTTGTTTACCGTGGTTATGTCACCCTGGTATACCTTGATTATGTCACCCTGGTATACCGTGATTATGTCACCCTGGTATGCCGTGATTATGTCACCCTGGTATACCGTGATTATGTCACCCTGCTCTATCGTGATTATGTCACCCTGCTCTATCGTGATTATGTCTCCCTGGTATACCGTGATTATGTCACCCTGGTTTACCGTGATAATGTCACCCTGGTATTCTGTGATTATGTCACCCTGCTTTATCGTGATTATGTCACCCTGGTTTACCGTGATTATGTCACCATGCTCTATCGTGATTATGTCACCCTGGTATACCGTGATTATATCATCCTTGTCTACTGTGATTATGTCACCCTGGTATACCGTGATTTTGTCACCCTGGTATACCGTGATTATGTCGCCCTGGTTTACCGTGATTATGTCACCCTGCTCTATCGTGATTATGTCACCCTGATATACCGTGATTATGTCACCCTGGTATACCGTGATTATGTCATCCTGCTCTATCGTGATTATGTCACCCTGGTATACCGTGATTATGTCACCCTGGTATACCGTGATTATGTCACCCTGGTATACCGTGATTATGTCACCCTGGTATACTGTGATTATGTCACCCTGGTTTACCGTGATTATGTCACCCTGGTGTACTGTGATTATGTCTCCCTGCTCTATCGTGATTATGTCACCCTGGTATACCGTGATTACATGTATATCATCCTTGTCTACTGTGATTATGTCACCCTTGTTTACCGTGATTATGTCACCCTGCTCTATCGTGATTACGTCATCCTGGTTTACCGTGATTATGTCACCCTGGTTTACTGTGATTATGTCATCCTGGTATACCGTGATTATGTCATCATTGTCTACTGTGATTATGTGACCCTGGTTTACCGTGATTATGTCACCCTTGTGTACCGTGATTATGTCACCCTGCTCTATCGTGATTATGTCACCCTGGTATACCGTGATTATGTCATCCTTGTCTACTGTGATCATGTCACCCTTCTCTATCGTGATTATGTCACCCTGGTATACCGTGATTATGTGGCCCTGGTATACCGTGATTATGTCATCCTTGTCTACTGTGATTATGTCACCCTTGTTTACCGTGGTTATGTCACCCTGGTATACCGTGATTATGTCACCCTGGTTAACCGTGATTATGTCACCCTGGTATACCGTGATTATGTCACCCTGCTGTATCGTGATAATGTCACCCTGCTCTATCGTGAATATGTCACCCTGGTATACCATGATTATGTCACCCTGGTATACCGTGATTATGTCATCCTTGTGTACTGTGATTATGTCACTTTGGTATACCGTGATTATGTCTCCCTTGTATACCGTGATTATGTCACCCTGCTCTATCGTGATTATGTCACCCTGGTATACCGTGATTATGTCATCCTTGTCTACTGTGATTATGTCACCCTTGTTTACCGTGGTTATGTCACCCTGGTATACCGTGATTATGTCACCCTGGTATACCGTGATTATGTCACCCTGGTATACCGTGATTATGTCACCCTGCTGTATCGTGATAATGTCACCCTGCTCTATCGTGAATATGTCACCCTGGTATACCATGATTATGTCACCCTGGTATACCGTGATTATGTCATCCTTGTGTACTGTGATTATGTCACTTTGGTATACCGTGATTATGTCTCCCTTGTTTACCGTGATTATGTCACCCTGGTATACCATGATTATGTCACCCTGGCTTACCGTGATTATGTCACCCTGGTATACCGTGATTATGTCACCATGCTCTATCGTGATTATGTCACCCTGGTATACCGTGATTATGTCATCCTTGTCTAATGCGATTATGTCACCCTTGTTTACCGTGGTTATGTCACCCTGGTATACCGTGATTATGTCACCCTGGTATACAATGATTATGTCACCCTGGTATACCATGATTATGTCACCCTGGTGTACCGTGATTATGTCACCCTGGTATACCGTGATTATGTCACCATGCTCTATCGTTATTATGTCACCCTGGTATACCGTGATTATGTCATCCTTGTCTACTGTGATTATGTCTCCCTTGTTTACCGTGGTTATGTCACCCTGGTATACCGTGATTATGTCATCCTGGTATACCGTGATTATGTCACCCTGGTATACCGTGATTATGTCACCCTGCTCTATCGTGATTATGTCACCCTGCTCTATCGTGATTATGTCACCCTGGTATACCGTGATAATGTCACCCTGGTTTACCGTGATTATGTCATCCTTGTCTACTGTGATTATGTCACCCTGGTATACCGTGATTATGTCACCCTGCTCTATCGTGATTATGTCACCCTGGTTTACCGTTATTATGTCACCCTGGTATACCGTGATTATGTCATCCTAGTCTACTGCGATTATGTCACCCTGGTCTTGGTTATTAATGGGAAGACTGTTTGGAATCATATTTTCCGTCAGATTTCGCGGGGGGATCCTAACGATCAAGCCTCATCAAAGTTAGTGTAAAAGTTTAGGCTGTCAAATATACCGAAGAAACTTCACATGTTTGGGGCCATTGCCATGGCAAAAATATATAATGCAAAATGGAAAGCTAAAAGTAAATAATATAACGTCAAGACAGTACAATTGCAAAATGAAAAAGCACATATGACCTTCTTTTCACCCTGTAAGTTATCATTTTAGCCCGTATAACAAGCTTGTCTAAAACATATTACCCCTGACTGTGACCAGGCCGAAGTATGAAACCGCGGACATTTCGACAACGCGCCGTGGTAGACGAATTTCATCATACCAACAATCAATAGTTTTAACACCCGAGATCACTTTGAGATGGCTGACTATTCCTCATGAAAAGCGGGCTGTAGGAATCAATCAGTGTCTGAGGGAAAGCATTATGAGACCACAGAGCAGCATGTCGTGTTTACCTGTAAGTCTCCGGCAACAATGAAACTTCCTTAGGTTTAAGTATTGTTACTGATTATATGTTTGTCATATAATGGGTATGTGTCGGCAGGATAAAGCCAACGGTCGCCCCTGTCATCCTGAGATCGAGTCAGAATTAACCATCGGGAATCTGGAGAAACTGCTAGGATAATTACTATCAAAAGAATAGTCTAATATACTGAAAATCAGTGTCTAACTGTGACGTAGCTAAGGCATTTCACAAGTTTGGAGGTATAAATTGCGGAACAGATTATCGAGGACACTGGAGCCTATATGTCCAAATTGTTACCTTGTTTCATTTTGTCGCTGTGTGTACATCTGATTGCACTTCGTAACGTTATGTCAGAACAGACCATCTCTAAACAAACGTGACGTCGCATAGGCTTGGGCTAGAGTTTCTTCCCTTTGTTAAAGCGCACTAACTCCACCGGACATTTGTGCAGGCAAGTGTTGTTTTGTCTGTATGTAGTTACGCCGCTGTATAAAAAACAGGTTTCGCCAAAGCTCGCTAAATAGCTCCTAATAGGGGATATTTACCATCCCCAACACACTCACGTGATAACCTTTATATATTGCGTTCAAGATAACTGCACTTATATATAGCCACGTGCGATCATGTACGTGTGTGAGACTGTATGTACTAGCCCGGACCACTGAGATACCATGCCGCAATTTACATCGTTACCCCCTCATGACGCGCCGGGGATCAAACCACCCACCTTCCGCCCCCCGGGAAGACGCTCTATTCACTAGACCTAGGGGGCAATTTACATTATTTTGTGTACAATTTTTAGGAACGTGCAAATTATACGAGTCATTTCCAAGCCTTGTGTTTTTCAGATCCACCATGCTGGAGAGAGGGCCCGGGACCACAGATCGAGACACTCACACCCTGTGGCCATCTAACTACAGTTACGTTTAACACATTTTCAGGTGTTTGCTGTTTGGAAACATAGTTGTTGGCTTTTAACTATTCTGTCACGTGTCTTTAGAGTGTTGTTACCTTCACTTACCCTTTCAGGCATTAAGCAATCAGAAAAATGATTGTCGATATATTTTCGTTTTTAATTGTTTTCCTATGCACTTTACTTTTGTTTTATTGATGTTTCATACCGCAGTCATCAATACTGCAACTTTATCACGGCGGCACGTTAATAAACGTCGAACAACAGAAACATGTAAGGGGCAGGTCGATCAGCGAAACCTGTTCTGGAAGTGACTGATAATAATCATAACGTGATAGTTTACACTTGGGAATTGGTCAATATCAGTCCATGGGTGTTCGTAAGAAATGACAACCATATCACCCTAATCATATCGCTGTGTACTGGTAAACAGTACAGGTTAAGACGTTTTTTCATTAACCAAATATTTAATCTTTATTAACTAACAGTGTAGAACGGTCATTTTTGATTGTGTAAGAACATTCATATAAAGACATAGATACTCTATGTCTTATCATATTTTCTATTTATCTTGCAGATGTAATCCTAGCGTGCGTCGTGTACCAGTTACGTCATCAGTATTGACACTGTCCAGTAGCCGCAACATCATGGGCCACACACAGATTACAACACATCAGAACTTTCGTCAGTGCATACACTGGTCCTCTTGGTGCTCTCATTGATAGGCGGATGTCATAGTGTGACGTCCATGATTTCTTTCGCAGAGAACAAGATAGTAACTGCTATTTCGCAGCGATATGAAGGATTGTGGTGGGCCAAGTGAGATGGTCCTAGACTGTCAGTGCGAACAACGTGGTGAACAAACAATGTAAGACTCACGTTTACAATCATTTTTCTGATTGCTTAATGTCTGAACGGGTAAGTGAAGGTAGCAACACTCTAAAGACAAGTGACAGTTACAGAAAGCTAACCAACAACGGGAGACAACACATCATACGTCATTATTATCCTTAAAAAGGTGAACAGAGATGTCGGTCGGGCTAGAGTGAAATCTACAACAAAGCGAAACAGGAAAAAAGACAGAGTCTAGAGTAATTGAGCCTGGAGGAAAATAGTCGCTCCTCTCGCGCTGACCGTTGCTGCAGCAGTCATCAGCGTTATGGTGGTGGTTCTCCTGACTGTGAAGTTCCCTGTATGCACACTCATCAAAAGCTTTGGTGGAACGGGAATAGAGTCAGGGACGGGACCATATCCGGGGTGTGTGTAGATTTGGGGTGGGAAGAAAGCCTGTATTGCAAGAGATATTGAAGGAAGCATATGCCTACACATGTAACAGAAAAGTATTATGGAAGCTCATGTACGAGGTGTATGTAAAGCGACCTACTTTTTTTAGCTTCTTTTTCCTCTACTTACTTCAGTGTACGTATCTGGTGTCCGTGGTAGCGACGTGCCAAATGATTCACAATATCTCAACAAACCTAACTTCATAAAATGGCATCAGTTCTAGAGTCAAACAAGATTTCTCTAACAGTAGAGATAGCCTTGCCAATCTTTTATCTTTTATGTTTCATTTTTCTGGGATTCCTGTTGGTGTGCAGGAATCGTGTGTGTGACTTTTTGAAGAATTTTTCAACATTTGGCCTGTTGAGATCCGGGAACGTCCTTCCTGACGTACACGATGATGATAATCATGATGATGATGATTATGATGATGCGGAGGAGGAGGAGGAAAATGACATGACAGAAGTATAAGCGACACTTGGTGTGATTACACTGCGGGTAGGGGGAGTTGATGAGCGATACTGTAGCATTTCACTGCATGTCCAAGTACTAGATATCATTTCTAGGAAAAACGGCATACATAAACTAGGCAACAATAAATTCTGGATGCATGATGGTATTACACAGAGCAGAAGGACATACATCAACTAGACAACACTGAATGCTGGATACACGTTTGTATTACACAGAGCAGACTGACATACATAAACTAGACAACACCAAATGCTGGATACATGTTTGTATTACACAGAGCAGACTGACATACATAAACTAAACAACACTAAATGCTGGATACATGTTTGTATTACACAGAGCAGACTGACATTCATTAACTAAACAACACAAAATGCTGGATACATTTTTGTATTACTCAGAGCAGACTGACATACATAAACTAGACAACACTAAATGCTGGATACATGTTTGTAGTACACAAAGCAGACTGACTTACATAAACTAGCAAACACCAAATGCTGGATACATGTTTGTATTACACAGAGCAGACTGACATTCATAAACTAAACAACACTAAATGCTGGATACATGTTTGTATTACAAAGAGCAGAACGACATTCATCAACTAAACAACACTAAATGCTGAATGCATTTGTGTATTGCAAAGAGCAGACTGACATTCATAAACTAGCAAACACCAACTGCTGGATACATGTTTGTATTACACAGAGCAGAACAACATACATAAACTAGCAAACACCAAGTGCTGGATACATGTTTGTATTACAAAGAACAGACTGACATACATAAACTAAACAACACAAAATGCTGAATACATGTTTTTATTACACAGAACAGAAGGACGTTCATAAACTAAACAACACAAAATGCTGGATACATGTTTGTAGTACAAAGAGCAGACTGACATTCATAGACTAAAAAACACAAAATGCTGGATACATGTTTGTATTACAAAGAGCAGAACGACATTCATAAACTAAACAACACTAACTGCTGGATACATGTTTGTATTACACAGAGCAGACTGACATACATAGACTAACAAAGACCAAATGCTGGATACATGTTTGTATTACACAGAGCAGACTGACATTCATAAACTAAACAACACAAATTGCTGGATACATGTTTGTATTACACAGAGCAGACTTACATTCATAAACTAAACAACACAAAATGCTGGATACATGTTTGTGTTACAAAAAGCAGACTGACATTCATAGACAAAAGAACACAAAATGCTGGATACATGTTTGTATTACACAGAGCAGGACGACATACATAAACTAGCAAACATCAAATGCTGGATACATTTTTGTATTACATAGAGCAGACTGACATAAAAAAACTAAACAAAACGAAAAGCTGGATACATGTTTGTATTACACAGAGCAGACTGACATACATCAACTAAACAACACCAAATGCTGGATACATGTTTGTATTACACAGAACAGAAGGAGTTACATAAACTAGAGAAAACTAAATCCTCGATACATGTTTGTATTACACAGAGCAGAACGACATACATCAACTAGCAGACATCAATTGCAGGATACATGTTTGTATTATACAGAGCAGACTGACATACATAAACTAAACAACACAAAATGCTTGATACGTGTTTGTATTACACAGAGCAGAACGACATACATAAACTAAACAACACCAAATGCTGGATACATGTTTGTATTGCAAAGAGCAGACTGACATGCATCAACTAAATAACACAAAATGTTGGATACATGTTTGTATTACACTGAACAGAAGGACATACATAAACTAGCAAACACCAACTGCTGGATACATGTTTGTATTACACAGAGCAGACTGACATACATAAACTAGCAAACACGAAATGCTGGATACATGTTTGTATTACACAGAGCAGACTGACATTCATAATCTAAACAACACAAAATGCTGGATACATGTTTGTATTACAAAGAGCAGACTGACATTCATAGACAAAAGAACACAAAATGCGTGAAACATGTTTGTATTACAAAGAGCAGAACGACATTCATAAACTAAACAACACAAAATTTTGGATACATGTTTGTATTACACAGAGCAGACTGACATTCATAAACTAAACAACACTCAATGCTGGATACATTTTTGTATTACACAGAGCAGACTGACAATCATAGACAAAAGAACACAAAATGCTGGATACATGTTTGTATTACAAAGAGCAGAACAACATTCATAAACTAAACAACACAAAATGCTGGATACATGTTTGTATTACATAGAACAGACTGACATTGATAGACTAAACAACACAAAATGCTGGATACGTGTTTTGTATTACACAGAGCAGACTGACATACATAAACTAAACAACACCAAATGCTGGATACATGTTTGTATTACACAGAGCAGACTGACATGCATCAACTTAATCACACAAAATGTTGGATACATGTTTGTATTACACAGAACAGAAGGACATACATCAACTAGCAAACACCAACTGCTGGATACATGTTTGTATTACACAGAGCAGACTGACATACATAAACTAGCAAACACGAAATACTGGATACATGTTTGTATTACACAGAGCAGAACGACATTCATAAACTAAACAACACCAAATGCTGGATACATGTTTGTATTACAAAGAGCAGACAGACATTCATAGACAAAAGAACACAAAATGCGTGAAACATGTTTGTATTACAAAGAGCAGAACGACATTCATAAACTAAACAACACTAAATGCTAGATACATGTTTGTATTACAAAGAGCAGACTGACATACATCAACTAGCAAACACCAAATGATGGATACATGTTTGTATTACAAAGAGCAGAGTGACATTCATAGACAAAAGAACACAAAATGCTGGATACATGTTTGTATCACAAAAAGCAGAACGACATTCATAAACTAAACAACACAAAATGCTGGATACGTGTTTGTATTACACAGAGCAGACTGACATACATAAACTAGCAAAAACCAACTGCTGGATACATGTTTGTATTACACAGAGCAGACTGACATACATTAACTAGCAAACACCAAATGCTAGATACATGTTTGTATTACACAGAGGAGACTGACATTCATAAACTAAACAACACAAAATACTGGATACATGTTTGTATTACAAAGAGCAGAACGACATTCATCAACTAAACAACACTCAATGCTGGATACATGTTTGTATTACACAGAGCACACTGACATACATAAACTAGCAAAAACCAAATGCTGGATACATGTTTGTATTACACAGAGCAGACTGACATACATTAACTAGCAAACACCAAATGCTGGATACATGTTTGTATTACACAGAGGAGACTGACATTCATAAACTAAACAACACAAAATACTGGATACATGTTTGTATTACAAAGAGCAGAACGACATTCTGAAACTAAACAACACTCAATGCTGGATACATGTTTGTATTACACAGACACACTGACATACATAAACTAGCAAAAACCAAATGCTGGATACATGTTTGTATTACACAGAGCAGACTGACATTCATAAACCACACAACACAAAATGCTGGATACATGTTTGTATTACATAGAGGAGACTGACATTCATAAACTAAACAATACAAAATGCGGAATACATGTTTCTATTACACAGAACAGAAGGACATACATAAACTAGCAAACACCAAATGCTGGATACATGTTTGTATTACACAGAGGAGACTGATATTCAAAAACTAAAAAACACAAAATGCTGGATACATGTTTGTATTACACAGAGCAGACTGACATTCATAAACTAGCAAACACCAAATGCTGGATACATGTTTCTATTGCAAAGAGCAGACTGACATTCATGAACTAAACAACACCAAATGCTGGATACATGTTTGTATTACAAAGAGCAGAACGACATTCATAGACTAAACAACACAAAATGCTGGATACATGTTTGTATTACAAAGAGCAGAACTACATTCATAAACTAAACAACACTAAAAGCTAGATACATGTTTGTATTTCAAGGAGCAGACTGACTTACATAAACTAACAAACACCAAATGCTGGATACATGTTTGTATTACACAGAGCAGACTGACATTCATAAACTAAACAACACAAAATGCTGGATACATGTTTGTATTCCAAAGAGCAGACTGACATTCATAGACTAAGCAACACAAAATGCTGGATGCATGTTTGTATTACACAGAGCAGACTGACATTCATAGACTAAACAACACAAAATGCTGGATACATGTTTGTATTAAACAGAGCAGACTGATATTCATAAATTAAACACCACAAAATGCAGGATACATGTTTGTATTACACAGAGCAGACTTACATTCATAAACTAAACACCACAAAATGCTGGATACATGTTTGTATTACACAGAGCAGACTGACATTCATAACCCAAACACCACAAAATGCTGGATACATTTTTCTATTACACAGAGCAGAGTGACATTGAAAAACTAAACAACACAAAATGCTGGATACATGTTAGTATTACACAGAGCAGACTGACATTCATAGACTAAACAACACAAAATGCTGGATACATGTTTGTATTACAAAGAGAAGAACGACCTTCATGAAAGAAACAACACTCAAACCTGGATAAATGTTTGTATTACACAGAGCACACTGACATACATAAACTAGCAAAGACGAAATGCTGGATACATGTTTGTATTACACAGAGCAGACTGACATTCATAAACTAAACAACACTAAATGCTGGATACATGTTTGTATTGCAAAGAGCAGACTGACATTCATGGACTAAACAACACAAAATGCTGGATACATGTTTGTATTACAAAGAGCAGACTGACATTCATGGACTAAACAACACAAAATGCTGGATACATGTTTGTATTACAAAGAGCAGAACGACATTCATAAACTAAACAATACAAAATGCGGAAAACATGTTTGTGTTACACAGAACAGAAGGACATATATAAAGTAGCAAACACCAAATGCTGGATACATGTTTGTATTACACAAAGCAGACTGATATTCAAAAACTAAAAACACAAAATGCTGGATACATGTTTGTATTACACAGAGCAGGCTGACATTCATAGAATAAACAAAACAAAATGCTGGATACATGTTTGTATTACACAGAGGAGAGTGACATTCATAAACTAAAC